TGTGAATTTACCAGATGATATTATGATGGGGTTTTTACTTGAATATTACTAATTTTGAACCAATTATAAAAAAGTTACCACTTTTAAAAAGGGGCAAAAAAGTGATCGAGAAGGTCATATATGTGGAATTAGAAACATGATGTCACTGCAAAAATTTATGTCACTGTGTTCATTTTTTTGTAACTAAGAATCGTCATCGTCAAATTTTTCCACACCAATTACACCGCCACCGTCATAGTGGCACCGCCATAGTGACGCCGTCATTTTCATGTCACTGTCCATTATTTATGTCACTGTCGCGTGTCACTGTCGGTATTTAATTTTGATGTCACTATTGGATGTCACTCCACCGCCGCCCGTGTCACTGCCGCCCCGTGTCACTGCCGCCGCCGGCCACAGTGACACCTCCGTAGTGACATGCCACAGTGACATTTATGTAGTGATATATGGTCCAACATATGACCACAGTGACATCTCTGTAATCCGGCCACCGCCGCCGGCCACCGCCGCCGACGGCCACCGCCTCCCCGCATGACCACAACTCCCCAGCCCCTGCCCGACCACCACTACCCCACCCCCACACACGGCTTGTGTCCCCTTCCCATTCACTCGCCCACCTGTATCCCCTCCCCTGCGGCTGCCACAAAGCAGCCCCTCCCAGCCTTTGCAGTAGATGCACCTTACTCCGGTAACCCAGGACCGCCACTGCCCCACCTCCCGAACCCCGCACACAGTGTTTGCTCCACCCCTGCTGCACCATCACTCGATTAAGGCCCACTGGCCCAGCCACTCTAGTAACTCTCCCACAAATCCTAACAATCGTCCCCAGCAATAACAACACGAAGATGCCATTTCCTCGTTCCCTTTGTAAGTATTCCAAAATAGGCATCCATCTTCGCCCCTAACCTGTCCTCCACCACCAACAGTATCAATAGCAAACCCAACCTCCTAGTTTCAGATTTTGATTTTTAAGCATAACCTAATTTCTAAGAACCTCATTCTAAAAATCAATCGAACACAGAAGTAATGCATCTGGGCGACCGAGGCGGTGCGATGGGTGACTGCGGAGTTGCGATGGCTGACTGCTGATGTTCAGTGGGCGAGGGAGACTGAGGAGATGCGAAGAAGAAAGATTGATTTTTCACGCCAGGGAGAAGACGGAGGAGATGTGGAGAAGAAAGATCGATTTTCACGCGAGGGAGAAGAGGGACGGAGCTGGGTCACTTTACTGAGAAAACGTAAAATGGTCATATTTTTTGAATTAGAAACTTAGGGAATAATATTAGTGCCATTATTTCTATTATGATGGCGGGTTCTGATTTTTTTTTGTTTTGCTTTACATCTGTGGCAAAACTTGTGCAGAGACAACATCACGAGACTTCGATTTGTGTCATGCTTCATTTTTTATAGCTAAAATCAGTGTTCCAAGATGTAACAAAGCGTTAAAGTTAGGCATCAAGCCTATGAAGTGTGGTGGACACCCACCTCTATTTTAATCTCGATCTAGATCGGAGCCTGTCAGGTGGCTCCGTGTCGGAACCAGAACATGCGGGAGGGGGATGGGATGGGATGGGATTATGCTACCCGCAGGCCGCAGCGGTGCACTATGTCGATAAGCCTAATTTACAAGAATATTACTAAAATAAAACTTATTTACATAAATATGACTATTCATTACTACAATGTAGTGTTGTGGTAAGTTAAGTTTAAAACTTGAATATGAATTACTATGATTTCATTACTATTCTAGTAAATAGTCGTATTTTTGTAAATCATCTTTATTTTGGTCATATTTATGTAATTATTTCAATTTTCAATTAGTTTATAAAAAAATTGCATGAAAGAAAGACCAAAATATTACTTTTAGAGTTTAGAAGGACAAAAATAAGTAATTTATATAAAAAAATAAGGACAAAAATAAGTAATTTATGATTGAACAAAAAGATTGGTGCTACCGTGCTACTTGACGACTTGACGTATAATTTGTACACATTTGTTCTACACAAGACAACTAGAAGAGTGTGTACAACAAATGTGTACAAACTATATGTACACATGGCTTTTTCGGTTTTCCGAACAAAAAAGTGACCACTAATTTGCAATTGGCTATTCGGCGCTTGTTCCTCTACACATGCGTTTTTCTTCTTTCTTAGTATGCAGAACAAACCTCTTCTCTGCTTACGTAGTAAAGCAAACTTCCTCTTTGTCGCTGCTCTCAGGCAGCAATTGCCCTCCCTCTGTTGTTGTCCTTAAATTGGATACTTACTATTAGGGATGGACCCGGGCCGGGCCCGGGCGGGCTTTTTTTTCCCCAATTACATGGGCCCGGAACCGGCCAGGGTTGATACCGGGTCCGGGCCTGGTTCAATGTTTATTTTTTTTGGCTTTCTTGTTATCCCCCGACCCCCCCCACCCCCACCCCCCAAACCTTCCCAAAACACCCAGCCCTACCCTAGGAAAAGAAAAAAAATTGAAAAAAAAAATTGAACCGGGCCCAGCCCGAACCGCCCGGGCCGGTTCAACAAAAGAGGGCCTGAGCCCGGCCCGCCCGACCCGCCCACACGGGCTAAAAGCCCGGAACCGGCCAATCGGTCCCGGTCCGGGCCCACACAATAGCGGGCCAGTCCGGTTCACGGGCCGGTTTGGCCCGGCCCAGTCCACCCCTACTTACTATTGTCGTCTTTGATGCTACTCCTCTCTGTTCACTCTGTTGGATCTGTGGTCCTTGGTCGACCGTGATTTGGGGCCATTGATTCTGGATTTGCCAACCTCGATGGACAAGGACTTTTATTTAGGGCTGATGGTGCCAGATCTGCTATCCTCGATGGCGGAGAGGGACTTGAGGGAAGGAAATGGGGCAAGGCGCTGGGGAACAGTGATAGGTTGGTGCGGCGGCGATGGCCAGGATAGGGACGATGGCGGTGGACGGGGAAAAGGATGACAATGGATAGGACATGGGCAGGGTCAGAGGTGGAGGCGCCGGGGCAGGGTCAGAGGTGGCGACTTAGGCTGGTGAGGGGGACGACCGCCGTAAAATAGTTGAAATCTAATACTATTACAGTTTCTCCGGAAAAAGTCGACAAGAAATTTTCCGATGATCATAGTGACATGTTTTATGGTGACAATGAACTAGTTACATTCAAAAGTGACATAAAAATCTGGTAATGACATATGACGATGACATAAAAATATGACAGTGACATAAATTTTTTGAAGTGACATTATGTTTTTCCAAATATACGATCTTATTCACTTTTTTGTCCTTTTATAAAAATGGTCACTGTTTTGAGGATTGACTTTAATTTAGTGACATTAAAGGAAAAATTCAAATTGCACTCACTCCTTAATTTAGTTATTCATTGCTATTCAACATCTGTGACTAGATTCGCCAAATACCTTTTACGAATTTTTATCTTGACAAACACACAAAGATAACATGGTCGAGAATCAAAGATATAATTAATATCCCTTCTAAATGAAAAAATATGGGAAAAGTACAAAAAAAGGTACTCGTGGTTTCGGCCGTTTTCAGATAGGGGCACATGTTTCATTTTTTAACAGTGGGACACGTGTTTCAATTCCGTTATCACAACAGGGGCATGACGTCTAACGCCGTTAGAAAATCTAACCTTAGTTTTCAAAAGTCTCTGAAACATTAAAAGAAAAATACTGGGAGGTGCGCTTCGTCAAGGAGACCAACAAACTATCTTTCTTTTTTGTTTCCAACCACCATGTCGCAAAAAAAAAACCTCCGGAAAAGTGATATTAAAAAATTCATTCTAAAAAAATAATCCAAATAGTACCGAAAAATTCAAAGAGAACGATAGTTTGTTGGTCTCCTTGACGAGGCGCACATCCCAATATTTTTCTTTTAATATTTCGGAGACTTTCGAAAATCGGGTTAGATTTTCTAACGACGTTAGACGCAACGCTCCTACTATGATAACGGAATTGAAACACATGTCTCACTTTGTTAAAAAATGAAACATGTATCCTTATCTAAAAACGGCCCAAACCACATGTACCGTTTCTGTACTTTTCCCAAAAAAATATTTACAAGTTTTTTAAGGTGTATCTATTAATGAGTTAATGTAACAGTTTATGATGAAATTAATATGGTACATATTATGATAGGCTTGGGACCGGTTCGGTTCCTAGGCAAAATATGTGGAACCGTTTGAAAATATGAAATTTTACTAACGGTTCGGTTCTTATAAATTATTTTATAGAACCGATTAGGAACCGAACCGTTCTTAATGGTTCGGTTCTTGTCATTTAACGGTTCCTAGTCTTTAAAAAAATTCTTACAAATCACGGGTAAATTTTTGTCAAAAAGACATTCAACGTTTTAAATTACAATACAAATATGTTGAACCGGTTAAAGAGAATAATAATTTTAAATAGTTTGGACCTTCCGAGTTCCGACCCGCTGGAGTCTGGACCGAATGAGAGGCCTAAGAAGTCTAGGAGAACCGGTTGAAGTGAATAATAGTTAAAAAACTAAACTAAAATAATGAATGTTATATAAAAATAAATAAGTAAATATACATTAAATCATATATACTCATAAGAAATATATATAATTTTAATTATTATATATAACGGTTCCTTAACGGTTCTTGGTATTTTTTTTTTTTTCAGGAACCGAGAACCGAACCGTTAATAAAAAATAAGAATCGAACCATTAACAAATAACTAATAAATGTTGGAACCGAACCGAACCGAGTCATAATGGTTTGGTCCGGTTCAGTTCTCCAGTTCTTGGTTCCAAAGTCCCAGCCCAGGTTGAGCCCTAGATTATGATAAGACTAGTAAATACTTCGTATAATTGTAAGGGAATAGGGCTATATAGGGTTTCCTATTTTTTTCAAAAACCCTGATTTAAACCTGGGGGCGGATCCAGAGTGGGGGCAGGGGGCAGCTGCCCCCGCTCAACCCCTACCCAACCCCTATATATATATATATATCAAAAATAAAATTATATATGTAGATAGGTATTTAACAGAGAGCCCATCGATCCAATCGGCTACTCCCCGATTCTCTCTAGGTCTTTTGGTGTCTGGTCTTCGCATCGATTGCAATCGGATCGTAGCTTCACGCACGCCACGGAAGATGTTCTTGGTCGATTGGTTTTATGGGATTCTTGCTTCTCTCGGTCTATGGCAGAAGGAGGCCAAGATCTTGTTCCTGGGCCTCGATAATGCTGGGAAAACCACCTTGCTTCACATGCTCAAAGATGAGAGATTGGTTCAACATCAACCAACACAATACCCCACATCTGAGGAACTTAGTATTGGAAAAATCAAGTTCAAGGCTTTTGACTTGGGAGGGCATCAGATTGCACGCCGTGTTTGGAAAGACTATTATGCCAAGGTGGATGCAGTTGTGTACTTGGTGGACGCATGTGATAAAGAAAGATTTGCAGAGTCAAAGAAAGAGTTGGATGCTCTACTCTCAGATGAGTCCCTGACCAATGTGCCTTTTCTGATTTTAGGCAATAAGATTGACATCCCTTATGCTGCATCTGAAGATGAATTGCGTTACAGTCTGGGGTTGACAAACATCACTTCTGGAAAGGGAAAGGTGAACCTAGCTGATTCCAACGTCCGGCCTCTTGAGATATTCATGTGCAGCATAGTCCGCAAGATGGGATATGGAGATGGCTTCAAGTGGATGTCTCAATACATTAAGTGATTAGCTGCTCCCAGATTCTGTTTTTTATAATGTTTTTCTCCCCCCCCCCATAAGACTCATAGTTGAACTTTTGTCTGTCTGAAATCAGTGTTGGATATTTTCTCTTGTAAAAAAAAGGATAGGTATACATTCTAAACGACTATGGTAACCATGGATAGCTTCGGCAGGGTGGTTTTCAGTGTGATGCGTGTTGCAAGGCTGTATGTTGGTCAATGGGTCCATTCTCAACTTTTACAAGTTTTTTCATTTTGTTTAAAAGCCTTTTATTTTGTTTCAGGTTGGTCGAAAGCTTTTTTTATTTTGTCTTGTTTAAATGCCTTTTTACTTTGTTTCAGGTGGGTTAAAAGGCTTTTTGCATTGTTTTTACTTTTGCAATTTTATTTAAAAGCCTTTTCATTTTGTTTGAGGTTGGTTAAAAGCCTATTTAATTTTGTTTTACTTTTGCAATTTTAAGCTGTAAACTAACATAAAGTTACTTTAGAGTTTGGCTTGTTTGAACTACTTCAGTTTAATTTTTCGCATATAATTTGTGAAGATTAACAATTAACATTTTCACATTTACTACAAATTGAATTTTAAATATATGTGTGCATTCATAACTTAAGTTAATTCTTTTTTTTTGATCTCCAATTGACCGTCGTATTAATTCACCAAATCATGTGCCAGAAGGCTTACAATAGTGTCAGGGATAACATCATAACAGCATGACTGATCTGGGATAGACACATGTAGGGGTGTGCACGGGTCGGGTTCGGGCGGGTCGGGTTTGAGAACCCTAAACCCGTTCGGGTTTTTTAATTTAAATACTAGGCCCGACCCTTTGATATTTCAAATCGGGTATTTCGGATATTTTTAAGTCGGATATTTTCGGATATCGGGTCGGGTTTCGGATATTTCGGTTATATTAAAAAAAAATTATAATTGGATAATTAAGGTGTTTAAATGTCACTTTGACAAAAATTGTACACACTAGTGCACTAAACTTCCAAATTACACAAATAATTTAACACAAATTGCACAAATAATTACACAAATAATTGAACACAAGTATTAATTTAACATATTCAAAGTACACACTACATAATTTAATATATTTCAGATATTTTGGTTATATCAAAACACATTATAATTGGATAGTTAAAATGTTGGAATGCCACTTTAACAAAAATTGTGCACACTAGTTCACTACACATTCAATTTACACAAATAATTTAATACAAATTGCACAAATAATAACACAAATAATTGAACACAAGTATTAATTTAACTATTCAAAGTACACACTAACATATATTTCGGATATTCGGGCGGGTCGGGTTGGGATTTCACAAACCCTACCCGCCACCCGATCTAGGCCCAATACTAATCGGATTTTCGGTTTCGGGTTTTTCGGGTCGGATATCCACTTCGGTTCGGATAATATCCGAAAAAAATATCGGGTTTTTCGGGTCGGATCGGGTTTTGCTCAGCCCTAGACACATGTGCTCTTGCTAACGCATGAGCAACACGATTCGCAGATGGCTTACAAAAAGAGATAGTAATATTACTCTTATTTTTCAACAAATATCTAATCACTCTACATAATTGCACTACTTTATGGAGTAGGCATATTCGGGCTTAGTTCCAAAGCCATTTCAACCGTACGATCCACTGATTTAGATCTATCGCTTTCTTTCTCAAATATTTTTTCCTTCTATCGCAACTAGGGGTGTGCACCGGTCCAAAACCGGACCGGACCGGACCGGAACCGGTTTAGACCGGAACCGGAATCTCAATTTTATAAGGACCGAAGACCGGACCGTATACTAACCGGTCCAGACCGACCCGGACCTGAATTTTCCGGTCCGGTCCGGTTTTAACCATAATTGACCCGGTTTTTTAAATAACTATTTCTTTCATTTATAAACTTTAAGAAGTAATCTCATATGCAAATTTGCGAAATAGGATATAAATTATATCATATAATAGACTAACGGTAAAAAAGAGAGAGAACATAATAGACTAAATAAAAACTACTCATAAACTACATCCATGAATTCATGATTTGTACTCGGTAGATCCTGCACAATGGCACAAGGCAAACCTGCGGTCTAAATAAAGACTAATTGCATTCATTTAACACCTACAAATTTGCTAAATAGAATATAAAAGACTAATATAATATAAACTAAAATACTCTTTGCCACAAAGTATGTTGGCAGTGTAGACGGTGTAGCAGCGAACCTAATTTCCAAGTTTAATCAATGGACCGAAGCATATATTTTAAGGAGTATTAATTTAACGGGTCAACCGGTCCGGACCTGTTTTTTCCGGGTTTGACCCGGACCGGACCGGAAACCCGGAATCATAGAATTCTAAGGACCGAAACCCGGACCTATTTATACCGGTCCGGTCCGGACCGGTCCATTCCGGTCCGGTTCAGGTCTAAAATACGGTCTGGACCGGTTAATGCACACCCCTAATCGCATCGCAACATCAAAACTTTCTCTCATGTTCATCACTCTCTTCTCACAGAAGCCAAAATGCTCGAAGCCATTAAAATCATGTTTGCCTTCTCAGCTCGAACCAATTCTAGATCTGCCTCAGCCCTCAGGTTCTCATCTCTCACCTCACAGCGCCGATTTCGATAGAGGGGAAGCACTCATGCATCTTCACCAGCACCCATCTCCGGTGATTAGTAGCCCACCCGATCTTCTGAGTGATGCCCCTGCATTCAGCCTCGATGCCGCCTCTCCTGGAAGAATCACTCTGCATGTTCACCAGCTCCGGCTCCGGCTGTGAGAATCACATCCGAGCCTCCGACCGACGCCCCAGCATTCAGTCACAACGCTGCCTTTCCTGGCCGTCATCGTCACTCAGCGATGATGTACTTTTCCCAAATCTGATTTTATTAATTTATTGATTTTATTGAAAAAACCTCTGATTTTTAATTTATTAATTGATTTATTAATTCTATATTCTCAATTAATTATTCTATGAGTGTTCTTTTCATGCTCATAATTCCCAAATTTAATGCACTTTCCCTCTTCTCAATTTCAAGATAAAGGATTTCAAGGTGAAGTAGGAACGTCATGTTGCAGAAATTGTGACTTCGCTCATACGTTTTTATTTACTTTTTGACGTTTTCATAAAAAAAATTATTTGCAACAGGTGAATATTGAATTTACTGAGTTTTATTTGATCTAATATACGTAGTAGTTCTTTATAAAAGTTCTCTTACTAAATATGGGTTTTCCTATATAATTCATTTCAATTGTTTAATTTGATTCCATATTGACATTGTTGATTTGGTACATGATGCTAAAGTTTTATTTTTAATCCAAATATGATTAATTTTCCCCCATTGTTATGCATTTCAGATATTTGATCTCATGTGGCCTTAGAGTTTGCTTCAATCTTCTTATCTTCATTTCCATTTTCCTGAATTGTCTTATCTTCATTAGGTACTATAGTTGTCTAATTGGAAGAATTTCATTCACTTTTAGCTGACAGCATTAATGATGCATGCAGTTTGTTAAAACACATCTGAGCCTTTAAGGTAATGAATTTATATCCTCCATGAAATTATATAGCTACAAATCATTCCATTATGTAGAGTGGTTCGCTTAATTCCAAGAATGCAATTTTAATTAGTTATAAGGTGGTGCTTTTTTCTTTGGTTTGGTTGTTATAATCTAATGTTAAGAATATTTTATTTACTTTAGTCAATTGGTAGGCAGGTTAGCAACATTTTATTAGGTTCTTAGATATACTTATATGACAAACAAACTTTACAAATTTATCTCACGTATTTGCTTTTCTTCAGTTTATCCAACCTGTTTACCATATTGTGATCCAAAAATCTGAATGCATGTCAATCTAAATTATTTTAATCATATTTCATTTTTACATTCCCAAAGTAATCCAAACAAGCAGAATATATCTTTTTAGTTTGTCTCTTATTTTATGTCTAGAATGATTACATAACACTTTAGGTGCTTCTAATGGTCCATATTTATAAGGATGACCTTTTTATAATTTAAATGTTATTTTGATGTCTATTCTTAATGATGTTCACACAAGGCTCTCTGCATATTGGAACAATTGAGTAGTATTATAATTTTAATTTCTTCTTCGACGGCATTACATTGGATGTAACACCCTATAGTTGGTGTTATCTCCGGTGTTGTTTCTCTCTTGAATCCTTTCAATCATCTCTTATAATCGGGTCTCTCTCATACTTGGTAATCTAAGAAAGCTACATAATTGCAATGCTTTTGTGAGAAGTCATTTCCCGCTCGCAGCAAGAGCCACTTTAAGCCGCACGTTTCATTTTTAATCTACTGCTGAAGTTATTTCCTCTTACCCTCTCAAATCTCAATCGTTTTCTCATTTTTCATCATCAGACCTTCGTCTCTCTCCCTCACAGCAAAGAATCAATTAGCGCTGAGAAATCATAAGGTCCCGAAATTCAAGATGACGCCATGGTACTTCTTCGCTACTCAGGTTCTCATCATTCCCCCCTCACAGAAACAAAACGACGCCATGTCACCATATTTGCAGGTTGCAGAAGAAGAGGGGATGTCGTCTGGGCCATCTCCATCTCTCAGCAAGGTACTTTTTGTATTTTTATTAATTAATTGTATTGATTTATTGATTTTATTAATTAATTTTATCAATTCTATTGTTCTATGATTCAACCAACAATGGAAACTATCTCCCTGATTTCTCCGGTTTACATTTGAAAACATTCTATGTTTTAGTGGGAACCCACAACTTTAAAAAGTCCATTTTTTTTAATCTTAGGGCTAATCAATTTGTAATTTGAGACAATATTCATATTAGTATATTACATATTGAGTTGATATTTTACTTCTATCCACAAAAAGTACAATATAAATTAATCTCTTTAGATTTCAGTTTTCTTACAATCTACTTCGTATAAAGTTATTTTTTGTATGGTAGTAGTCATTGGAAATTTTGCTTGCTGATAAATCTATCAGAATCTCAGTTATGCAGGAACTTCTAAGATGCTATCAGAATCTTTGAAATATACAAAGTTATAATTTCGTACTCGAATGAAAATAATTGATGTTTGAAATGTGATAGATATACTATTGGTTGTGGTCAACTATATGTTTAGATTTTGTCTACAAATTTTTGAAGCCTCGGGCACAGGGTCCCCTTTATCCTTTTGTGCTTCTCCATATCACTTCATTTGTAAAAATATTTAGAATAGATATACATGTGCTTCTACAATGATGAACCACTTGCAGGTATACTACATGCATCTATTATTATCATTTCCCTACTACATTTTAGTTATGTGACCTATAAAACAATCAGGTTGAGATA